ACACAACTCACAAAGGCAATCCCCCGCGGAAAAAAGTTTTGGTTTTGGGAAAAGCAGAGGGCCAAGATATATACGTGGTTTTCACTGGAAGAGGTGTGATGCAGTCAAGATCCATCAGAAGGATTGCAACTGACTGGAAGGCACATCTTGGTTCTTGTGTGCATTTCAATGCTCCAACGTGGTGCTTCAAAACAGGCCTTGGCAGCAGGATCATACCAACACGTCGGACAGTTGAACCCTGGCCGGCGTCAAGCGCTGAACCAGTTGGACCAGTTCTTCCTTCAGCTTTGCATGGTGCAGATGGTGAAGCTGTGAAACAGAAAGCTCGGGAGGAGAAACAAGAAGAAGGAGAACTTCAAGCAATGGGTGCTGAGGATGTACGTCCAAAACATCCTGAATCAGAAGCTGCAACAACGTCCATTCCAGTTGCAGTTCCTTCAGGCCAAGTGGAAATCAACGATTTCCTCAGGAGGATATGGATGATGGCCAGAAAGCGCCAGTGACACCACCCATGACATCTGCGGCAGCTCCACCAAGTCCCAGAGCATCTCCTGCTAGCAGGGCACGCGATGAGACCCCTGAGGAGGACCACGATGCAAAGAATGCACGTTTGGAAGGCTAAAAGAAGCAGAGGATTGAGCGTGTGAAAGCAGAACAGGAAAGCATCATACGTACGGTGATGATTGGAGAAGAAACCTTTCCTTGGACAACTATGAGACTGACTTCAGTTGGGACTAAGAAGTTGTTGAAGATGAAGAAATGTGGAAGGATGAAGATTCCTTACAGTTCAGTGGAGTGCCTGAAGCTTTGTGGTCAGATGCAACAACTGACAAACCCCCAGGCAACCCTGAAGTTTGGGTGGACAGACTTGCAGACCAGGTGGAAATCGAAAGACTCCTTGCTATGGGTGTTTGATGAAACGTGATGAATGTTCAGGAGAAATCACTGGGAATTTGACAACACGTTTTGTGTATGACTAGCGGTTGAAAAGCTACAAGGTTGATGGTGCTTCAGATGAGACAGCAGTGATGAGATGGATGCGTCGCAGCCGGTTTGTGGCAAGAGAGTTTGCCAACACCCGCCGGGACGACACCTACAGCCCTGCCGCTGGAAACCATACAAACCATTTGATACAACTTGCTCAGGTGGAAAACAGTGGTTCCAGTGATGAAAGGTACCAGGTGGTCCTATGTTCACTTGACATAAAGGACGCATTCCTTCAAGTTCCTCAAGAAAACGTTGTTGAAGTGAAGCTGCATGATGTGAAGTACGTGGTGTTGAAAAAGTTGCCAGGGCAACGCCTTGGGGCAAAGGCATGGCATTGGTACTTCCGAGAGTATGCAACAGGGAGGCCATGAAGTTTGAGTGGAGCCTCATTCAACCATGTCTTGCAAAGTTTGGTACAAACGTCTTCATGCTGCATGTGGATGATTTGCTGTTTACAGGAAGCTTGGTGTTTTGGCGCGATGTTTTCTTGCCGACAACGCACCAGAAGTTCAGCATCAGTTTCAATGTGCTTGGTTGTGCGGGATCAAAAATTTCCTTTCTCAAGCGTCGGCTGGTGAAGCTGGCCGACGGTATCATGGTGGTGCCAGGCACGACAGTGGAAAAGGTGCCGAGTTGCTTTGAAAACCTTTGTGGACAAGTGCGCCTACAGAAGACACCTTGCGAAGCTGGAATTCAACAGGGGTACCTTTCTCAACAACTTGGACCAGGCTCATAGAGGAGCATTGAGCATCATCTGGTTACTTCTTTACCTCTCCCGTGACCGGTTGGACATTATGTTCACTGTGAAGGAGCTAGCAGCTGCAATGTCCAAACCAACTTTGTGCGCGCTCCAGCGTTTGGGGCGCTTGATGGGGTATTTGAAGTTCAGCGGCAACATTAGTATCAAGGTGGGAGTTCCTGAATCGGGAAAACAAAAAAAAGGAAGGCTGTGAAACGCAGTGGATTTTGGAGACCTACACGGACGCTGGTTGGTCTTCAAACAGATCTCACAGGAAGTCCACGAGCTGCGCAGTACATTTTATCAATGGTTGCTTTGTCCATGGCTCTTCAAGGACCCAGAAGGTGATTAACCTCTCCTCAGCAGAAAGTGAACTCCATTCAATGGTCAGTGGATGCTGCGATGGTCTGTTTATCAAAAGATGTGCCGAGTTCATCTTTTCAGCGCAGGTTCAACCTTTTCAGTGGACTGACAACAGTGCTGTACGACAACTTGCAGCCAGACAGGGCGTTGGACGTACACGCCATTTGTTGGCCAAAATCTTGTGGATTGGACAGGCTCCTACAAGCCTGAACCTCAGTGATGTTGGAACAAAGGTGCTCCTAAAGAGCAGACTCTATGCTTTGCTGTTCGAAGTTGGTGCCATTAATCCAGAGACTTTGGAGATGGTGGGCCAGTAGAGGATGTTGCAATGATGGAGCAGGTCCACAACCGTGACACCGTTGCAAAGGTGGTGACGTTCATCAAACGTTTGAGCTTTGTGGTTGGTATGCAGGGCTCAACCCTCACTTGCAGCAGTGAGTTTGGATCACTTGCGGCAGTGAGATTTCCCAGTCACTTGCGGCAGTAAGATTGCATCACTTGCGGCAGTGAAACCCTTATCAGACGTTATAAACCGATCACTTGCGGCAGTGAGATTTCGGAACATTCGTATTACTGCTGGGGTGGCGTGGGGTGGGGTCGGATAATAACGTTCATGTTCCTGTACACACACAGGCACGGGAAGAGGCACTGTTCTTTCATCATCAATTACTGCTGGGGTGGGCTGGGGTGGGGTGGGGGAGGGGGTGGGTTTGGTGGGGCGGGTGTAATCATCGTCATGTTCCTCACAACACACACACACATGCACGGGAACAGGCAGTAGTCTTTCATCATCATTACTGCTGGGGCAGGGTGGGGTGGGGTGGGGTGGGGTGGGATGGGATGGGATAATAACGTTCATGTTCCTGTACACAGACAGACACGGCAACAGGCAGTTGTCTTTCATCATCAGTTACTGCTGGGGTGGGGTGGGGTGGGGTGGGATAATAGCGTTCATGGTCCAGTACACACACAGGCACGGGAACACGCAATTGTCTTTCATCATCAATTACTGCTGGGGTGGGTTGGGGTGGGTTGGAGTGGGGTGGGGTGGGTGGGCTGGGATAATAACGTTCATGTTCCTGCACACACACACACACAGGCACGGCAACAGGCACTGCTCTTTCATCATCAGCTACTGCTGGGGTGGAGTGGGGCTGGGTGGGATAATAACTTTCATGTTCCTGTACACACACCGGCACGGCAAACTCATCATCTTTCTGTCAGCTGATAACGTGCACGTTCCTGTACATATACAGGCACGGCAACAGGCAACAGGCACTGCCACAAACTAAATTTCCTGGAGCCATTGCACAGCGCTCCAGCATCTGAACACATTGTCAAAGAGGAGGAGGGAGGAGGATGAGAATGATGATGATGATGATGAAGATGATGATGAAGCTGATGATGATGATGATGATGATGATGGTGACGATGATGATGCTGATGATGATGAGCAGGAGGAAGAGGAGGAGAAACTTAATAATGTGCTAGCTATGTAGGTAAAGTTTCCACCCGAAGCCCTAAATCCGTCACGTTCGCTTAACAGCTACAAATCTAGCCGCGGTCGCGCCATTATATGTATACGTATGCAGGGCCTTGAGCCAGTGCTGGCTGAAGGCGCAATGGTGTCTGGACGAACAGACTTGCAGTGGCCCGGAAACCTCCCAAAACATTTTTTGGATTTGGTTTCATGCTTGCAACGTTTGTGACGGTGACCCTTGTTCAAGCTGAAAAAGATCACAGAAGATCTCCGAGACTGCTGGAATCAAGTTGGAGCTGAAGATCACTTCATAAGTCAACAGGCAGAAAGAATCGACGGGCTTGAAAAACGTTGTGAAGCTTTGGACAACCAATTGGGTCAACAAAGTGTTGGAGATCAAACTGCTGAGGCCAGCAATGAGCTGTCAATGACACATGACTATGTGAGTGGTTTGCATTACTCTTTGGTGGGGCGTGGTGGATTTCTACGCAACGGTTTAAGCCTGTCATGACCAATGGGTTCACCTGACGTGCAAATATGATAAGCTGAAGGACGATGGGCTCAGTTGAGTTCATGAGGCTGGTCAGGCAAAGGACAGTCCCACTTGGAAAAGCAGACCAAACAGAGGGCCTGCAGAAGAACGTGCAGCTGCCGAAAGTGAAGAAGATGAACAAGATATGGAGGTGGAACCAGAGGACACCTTGGGCAACAGAAATCGGTCCTGCGAAGACATGCTGAATTTCATCAAAGCCGAACATCAACAAATTGCATCAATCGAAACGAGTACTGGGACGCCAATACTCTGCAGAATCTGATTCTGCAACTTTTGGAGGGGATCCAAAACAGTGTACCCAGAGTTTCAACGCATGGACGGTGCAAAGCTGGCAGAAAGAACCACCCAACAAAAGAGGTGGACCGGCGCTGACCGCTATCAGGCACCCTCCAATTTCAGGATGACAATTTTGTGAACTTTCAGCAACAATGGCCGAGTAACGCAGAAGAAAATTTGAGACAAAATTGAGTGTTGTGAAGTGATCTTGGCTCACTCCACATAGGAGGAGTGGCTAGGATTTTCAGCCAAACTCAGTGCAAGGATGACACGCACACAAATCGAGATGAGTTCATTCACATTTTCATATTTGCATTCGTGGAAAATCCATGTATGATTTTGGAGGCCTTGCGGCTCACGAAAAACACGTGCCCGCTTGCAAAGTCGCACTTTTTGGCTGACTTTTGGAACTGGCGAGAACGTCTCAGAACATCTTGGCGACATGAAATCGATCCAACTGTGAATTTTGAGTTGCACACTGTGCAGCCTCCTCCCTCCAATTTGGAAGAGGGCAAAATCTGCCTGATCTCCTCCTTGGCGCCCTGGGACCGCTTGAGCGGGTTGCTGTAGATGTTTGAAGCCGAGAAGTTCACCACCAGTCCCTATCGCTCCTGACTGGGAAGGCTCAAGAGTAGTGGAGCCGTGGGTCCCTTGATCTCTGTCGATGACATCTCGCCGCATTCTCCAAGCGAGTTCCCTCTCGCCCAGTGTTTCGGATCCACCACCAATTCAGGTGAAAGCTCACGTCTCAGCGTGTAGCCACTCTATGCCACTCTGGATGGTATCCTGTGTGTTGGACGAACCTTTCCATCCATTTCACTTAGTTTCACCTGGAATCCAAAAAGGGGTAGGTGTACTCGTCCTCGTCCTCTCCAGTGTCGTCCAGGGTGCCGTCTTTTCCTCACTGGTCACCATGTAGACCACTGATCTTCGGCTGCTGACAGAGGACCGTCGGCTCCTTCCTGAAAGGGATTCGGCCGGAATCACCCGATCAGCCACTGCAAAGCGCCTTCTTTCGGTGGCATGCCCGGTGCCGATCTCATCGGTCCTGGTTGCAGCGGCTGGAAAAGGCAGATCTGGAAACGCGACAGGGTCGGGCAAAATGCAAACGAAGGAACGCAAATCCGGGACGGACTTGATAACCTGACCAGGACAAGGTCAGACATGCTGCCGGGTTTGTGGGCAGCAAGGGCGTTGGCAACGGGATTGGATATGCAAAGGCTCGAGGGAATCGCCGGGCAAGGGACAGTCATCAGCATCCGAGTCGCCGAAGCGCATCGGGACCTGCTTACCCGAACAAGCCCCGCATGGTTTACTTCAGTGTGAGGAATAGCGATTTGGAGGCAAAGAATGGATTTGCAGGAATGGTCGTCAAGACGACGGAACCCAACGATCAGGAACCTTTGGAGGAGACCCAACAGAGAATGCCGGAAAGAGAGGTTATGAGGCTGATGACGCTGCCACGAGAAAAATTGAATGGCAGCTCCCTTGCCTTTATTTGATTTTATTTGGTGACTGTGTGTCACCTCCTAGCGTGGTGATCCTCAAGCATCTCCCAAGGCTCAACCCGGAAGGCCAACTGCTGCGGCGCTGAGGTGCGCCAGCCACCATCAGCCGCCTCCAACAGCTGCACAACAAAGGCCTTCACAGGCCCCACGCTAGCTCCACGCTAGCATGAAAAGCAACGACAATTTTTCTCAGCCAAAAAGGCTAACGGTAGTGCACAATTTTTATGTGCCTGGCATTCTTGCTGCTAGCTACGCTACAAGTTCGTCTCGGAGGGTTTCGGCTCAGTTTCTTCAAGTCGCCAAGGTTGTTGCTCATGACACGCCACATCAGCCGCTGTTCCATACCAATCGCCCCGGACATAGTCAGCAGTTGTTCGCCTAAGATGGCGTTGCTACATTGCACGTCGGCATCAAGCCCACCAAGCCTCACCCCGAAGCACGTAACTTGCCATACTTTCACCTGTTTGTCGGGAGCGCCATCTGTCGTCGAAAAGGTAAGAGGTCAGCTTCCAATCCTTCCAGTTGTTTGTTCACACCGCCCCCCCTGCGCTAGGGGTCCGAGTTACTTGCGCTCTCCTTCCGACATGGCCTTCTCCTTCATTTTGACAACATTGATGTAACCTGCCCACCAAAACCCGGAGGAAGACCGACAGAGGTGTGAAATTCCCATACGGTAAGTTTTCCCAAGCCATGGGGGCAGGGGGCCAAAAGTTGTAACCACCAGGCTATTGGCGGACTGTTTGAAGTCGTGCGGTGGCCGGTGGTTCTCGCTACCACATGGAAGATCCAAGCCGGGTGACCCACCAGAAAACCAAACATGGAACAAAGGCCTTCCACTCAGCTCAAGGCGCCTCGGTGTTCTGGGCGCACAGTAACACAGTTCTCAACATATGCCAACGCACATATGGATCGGGATGTGACAAACTGATTTTCACACGTAGCATCCATGATGGTAAAAAATTGTTTTAAAAATCTTGGGTCGCATCACCAATGATAGTAGAACGTTTGAAAATTGACGAGAAAGCCTTGGAACGTGCCATCAACGATGTTATCAACTTGAAAAAGATCTGACGGCCTGGCATCAATGCTAGGCATGATTGAGGTGTAATGAAAACTGGTAAAGATCGAATATTCACAGCCGTGGAAACGACGATGGCACATACATGAAAAAATCTTGGACCGTGGAAACCATGATGCTAAATAATTGAACAGAAATGTCCAAGGTCAGCATCAATGATGATGGAAAAATGAAGAAACAATCGTGGAGCATAGCATCAATGATGTTGAAAGCAAAAAAATTTAGTATCTGTTTCCTTTCAGATATTCGAAAAGGTAGCTCTTTTAGTCTTTTGGGCGTAAAGGTGCACCTACGGTACATACATGGTGAAAATACCCAATGGGAACAGGCAGAGATTTCCAGTCTGCTCTTTGTGTTGTTCCTGCGTTTGGGTTTGGAATGCTATGTCTATCCAGTGAAGTGCCTGTAGTGGCTGTACAAATTGGTAATGCGCTCTTCGCACTCAAGTTGTGTCAGGCCTTCGTTTTCCCTGGATATAATTCGCCTGTTGCGAAACCCATATAATCCAATTTGGGAATCAAATTGGTATTCACTGTTTCCGAATTCCTCGCTCTCTTCGATGAGGATGAAGCGCCAGGAACCATCAGCGAACTGCTGATGCATCATCTGCTCATGGGCACGGTATTCGCCCGGTGCATCCATGCTCGTTGCATGCTCCTCGTAGAGCTCGATGATGTCCGGCAGCGGCACTACATAGTCAGGGCCATGTTGTTGAACCAAGGCGTACAAATACACCTCCATGTTGTTGGACTCAATGTTCATGATGTGCAATCGGTTGCGCATCCTTCTGTTGTATCTCTCATGGGCATTCATGTCGTGCCTCACTTCATCCAAAGACATGTCGTCAGATGGATCGACATGCACTCGATCTTCACTGTCATCGCGAGATCGCGAGGCCGTCTCGTTGAAGGGTCTCTCTCTGTCAGGCTCGCTTGCAGAACCAAGTTCTCCATCAGGTTCAGGTTCTGCAGGACGTCGATCTGTCGTCCTCGATCTGCTTGCAGAGGGCTCCTCAGGATGAGGTCCAGCACTACGACACAAGGTTCTGTAAAGGATGTTGATGTCCTTCACGTTCTCGCCCAGCTGCAATTGGAGCTCCAGCACATTGTGTTCAGTGCTGAGCATCCGATTCACCAAATCGGCTCTGGTGAGCGGATGGGCCGCTTGTTGATGTTCTTCTTCCGTCTTCTTCCAGCAGTTTCTTCATTCCTTTCACACATCTCCATAGGTAGTAAATCGCCACCATCATCATCATGCAAATGGCTGTCATCACGTAGATGAGGGCCTTCTGAAAATCAAATTCGTTGCCCTTGTCAGCAGGGCACTGTCCACCATCGGCTTTGCCGTGTCCACATTGAACAGCACATAGGATCGCCAGCAGCGCAAGGCTCGTCCGGGAAGTCCATGTTGTAGAGCTCGAAGTTGGCATAGTCCAGGATGTAGCGCTCGAAGTTCCAGGCGTAGAGCTCCAGGTCGATGTAGGTCTTGTCCAGGAAGAAGCATAGTTCTGGATCCGCTTGATGTCATTGGGTGTCAAGTAGCTGATCCATTTCTCATCGCCATCCAAGAGGTCATCTTCAGTGAAGTCTGCTGTTGGAGGCAGTCGACGGGCTTCCAAAGGATGTCCTTCCTGATTCATGAAAATCACCTGGCCAGTCGAAAGTAGATGCAGAAGCTGTTTGCTCAGCATCGGCTTCGTCAATGCATCTGCCACCATAGACTGTGTTGGAACCAGGATGATCCAGCGAAGACGTCCACAGAGTCGAGCTTCACGATGAGCCAGAATGTAGACTCGCTGAGATTTGTCTTGAGGAAGGGCAGTGCGACCTGTTGTCAAGGCATACAGGTCTTTGCAATCCGTCATGGAATCCACAGGTAGAAATGGAACTCCAGCTTCTTGTAGAGCAGCAAGTTGTTGTAGTGAGGGCTTTCTCGTTGGTGACAGCAGCTCGGCCAGGCGCAATGCTGCCAGAGACGCAGTCTCAAGTCCAGAGATAGCAGCCAATCAATGTCTCTGAATGAGAAGTTGAATAACTGATGCGCTTGGCTCGAGCTCCATGTGCAAACAAAATGTGTGCTTCTCCACCAAATAGATGCTCGCTCACTTCCAGCCCAGTAATGGAGTGGATCCGCTTGTCAAAGTTGAGGTTGTCTCTCATCAAAAGGATCATGACACCTTCTTGCGAGTAGGCTCGTCCCTTCGATGCTGAGGATGCATCGTGAACTGCAACCAATCGCCAGGGCACTGAAGTTGGAAAGTGCTTGAAGGTGATCCCCAGGCCGCGGTACTGTACCATCTTGGCCTTCTTGACACTGGCGTTCGCCATGTGCATGTCTTGGACAGTTGCTTTGGTCACTCTGGATTGCAACACACCAATCTCTGCAACCAAGTCAAGTCTGGTTGAGGTGATCCACAGCAAACCGCCCAGCACACTTCTAAACATAGACACCTCTTTTGGATTCAGCAGCCGGTTCATGTCATTTCCAAAGTCCTTCAGGTCAAGGATCTTCATGGAGTCGATGAACTCCTGTTGGTCAATCTGGAAGGTCGAACCGGTCTGTGAGTAGCGGGCTCCACAGTGTTGAAAAGGAGGTTTTTCCTCGCTGATCTTGCCGAATCGGCTGGTGAGAAATTTGTACTGCTCGTTAAGGAAGTTGTCATTCGCCGCAACGGCAATGTCATCCACATGAGTGGTGAGAACTCCTTGAAGTCGGCCAGTTGTAGGGCACTTCTTGTGCCACATGTTTTCATCCAGCAAGGATTGGCAGCATCCACCTTCTTCAAGAGTCTCAAAGAGCGACAATTGCCATGCGAGCGGGGCATCAACCAGGCCATAGGAAGCCTTCTCACATAGTAGGGCCCATCGGCTCTCATCACCTTCAGCCACTGCAAAGTGCGGGTCAAAGGAGGCAAGGTGATGCCACACGTTTGGAGGAGGCACAATTGCCACTTGTCGATCAGGCACCACGACAGCTCTCTTCTGCAGGATCTCCTTGGTGCGCTTGAAGGTCAGGCCTTTTAAGAAGGCTCCACTCACATCCCAGCTGCGCACTGAAAAGGAGCGCGTAGAGGCCACAGAAAGAACCAGCCTCTGTGAGAGGCGTGTTGCCGTAGTAGATCTCGTTGGCTATTCCTCCTTCTGAGGATCAAGAAAGCCACGGGCACAAAGTCGGCTTTTAGCCTTCAAGGTTTTGTTGGCGGTGCGCTTGAACTTTCGCACCCATGTGGCATCCACCAAGGCAGTTCCTTGAGGCAAGTCGTCCAAGAGGACCTTTCTGAAGACCTTCTCATCCACGAACTGCTTGAGTTCTGCCTTGTCGCTGGCCTCGAAGTCAGGCCAATGTTGGAGGACCTTCGTTTCGTCCAAGACGTCAGTGTCTTCGTCAACTCGGTAGATTCCACCATCAGACAGGTAGATCCGAAGGTCTGCCTCAGTGCGGCAATGCAAGTGGAGTAGAGGCCGTTGTCGTACTCGAGGATGTTCAGCAGGAAGAGCAAGTAGTTTCTTCCTCATCCATCGTTGATGTTCTTCGAACCAAATGTCGTCAGGAGGAAGTTGAATCTGCTTTGGTCGTTGCAGCATCCACCAAAGAGAACTGAGATGGAGCTTCTGTCGCCTTCGTTCAGGTGCCAAGGTCACGGTTCTGGTGTCAGGACCTTGGCGCTTCAGAGTGGATTCACCATGTTGTAGCTCAGGAGAGTTGGCAGTAGACATTGCATCTTCGTCAGGTTGGTCTTTGTCAGGTTTGATCACAGGTGGTCTCGAGATTCGAGCTGTGATCCATGAGTCATCGTTCTGGTACTGCACATAGCCGTAGAGATAGAGATGACAGAGCTTGTCGATGTTCTTGACAAAGAGCTCCTTGATGTGGATGTTGGAGTCGGTGTTGTGCTCAGTCACGGAGATGCCCAAGAAACCTTCTGGCCATGTGATCAAAGTTCCTTTGGAGAACTTGGGAGCCAAAATGGTCTTCATGCCTTTTCCAAATCGGGCTCCGTGAAAGATCACCTGGTCGTAGTGGAAGTCCAGAAAGGTCTTGGCATCCTTGAGCATCTGGCTGACTGTATCACTTTCCTCTTTCGGAAATTTCACCATCTTGTTTTCTCCATCTTCATGCTTCAAGATCTCGCCCATGGTGTATGGCTTGTAGGGCGTGCAGTCCTCGACAACCAGCTTCATCCGTCGAAGAGCTTGTTCTGCTTCAGTTGAAGTAGTACGTTCAGGAACTGCACGTAGCTTTCTCGAAGGGGTCGTAAGTGTCGTAGTCCAACCAGATAGGGCCGTCCTTGAAATTCCACGATTGACGTTCCAGCAGCTTCGTCAATTTTGAGGACTGTTGCAGGCCCTCTCCAACCATATCCTCCACCATCATCTCTGAAAATCTCCACCTTGGTGGTCCCAGGAACGAAGTCTTCCACAGGCAGTCGTTGGGGTCTGGACCTGTTGGCCCGAGAAATCCTGGATTCCAGGATGGCAGCTTGGCTGGCTTGTAGTGCCACTTGTCGAAGTCGTAGAGACCTTTCGAAGGCTGACTCATCTGGAGTGAGGTCATCTCCTTGAAGAGGTTCTTCAGGTTCCAAGTAGCCACGAGGGAGAACACCAAACAACATGGTCACTGGTGAATAACCTCCTACATTGAACGTGGTGTTGGCAGCCATGCAAGCCTCACAAGCCAGCTCCTCGCCTTCAATTTCAAGACCCCATCTCGAAGCTTCTGCTTGAATCTTGGCCATGGTGAGCTTCGTCAAGTCGATGTGCTTCTCGACAAGTCCTGTGGCTGTGTGTTGCTGTCCCTGAGTTTTGGACGTGGTTCCACCAGGTCGGCGTGCAATGCCAAGTCTTCGTAGTTCAACTCCAGCATGAACAGTCATCAAGGATGTCTCCTGGTCGGACACCAAAGTTCTTGGTGGGCCAAAGTAGCGAATCCAGCATCGCATGAGCGCTCCAAGGATGTGCTTCAGCTCACGGCTTTCGCACAAAGTTGCCACCTTGTAGCGCGTGGCCTCGTCGATGACCAGGAGGTAGGTCTTGCCATCATAGCTGTAGAGATCAGCTTGGATGACCTCGTTGAAGGACATGCTGAGGTTGGTGCCTTTGTACTGGGGTCGACGTCCAGCTATTGAGAACTTGCGGCAAATCCTGCATGAAGACACAGCATCGCCAGTCAGACGCCAGACTGCGTGAGGCATGCCACAGCGAATCAAAATCGTTTTGACGTCTTGAGTTCCTGCATGCCAAAGTCTTTCGTGTAGGCCCAAGATCAATCTCTTGGCTGTGACGTCATCTGTGCCAGCAAGTCGAGGTAGACGTGAAAAGACCCGTCTAAAATCGAAGATCGGTCGTAACGACCCAGGATGTTGAGCTGGACCGTCGGCAGTTTCTTCTTCAAGTTCAGGTTGTGGTAGTGGTACAAGTTCACCGTCAGGTTCATCATCTGCATCTTTGTCTTTGATGGCCTTGATGTCAGAGGAAGAGGATGTGGCTGCTTCTTCAACATCTGCACCAAAGATGGCCACGAGCCAATCTTCATCAAGTTCCAGAGGTTCATGCCATTGGCTCAGAGATAAAGTGCGAAGATCTTCAACTTGTCCAATCTTCCAGCTGGAAATGGAGCCACGAAGTCGCAAACGTAGTGGAGTTTGTTCGACTGCAAGATGGGGAGCTGGTGTAGGAGTGCTCCAAGGTTGAAGGCAGGCCATCATGCCTTGCACCTTCATGTAGTCCTTGAAGATTCGTTGGGTCCATCCAAGTGCAGTTGGATCTTCAAGCCAGTGCACGTAGTTCTGGTCGTCCTTCTTCTTCTCCATCTTGTCGAACTCGTCCACGGCAGCTGATAGGAGCTTGATGAGGCACATCTTGAGCACTGCAATCTGCTCGCTGTCGAAAGAGATGCTTGGATGAACTGAGAGTTTCCCTTGCATGACCTTGGGATTCTTCAGCGACTCCTTGCGGAAGTTCTCAAAGATGTTGTCCTGCTCCTGCTGCTCTCTCTCCAGTCGTTTGCGTTCTTTGGGTCCTTCTCCTTCTGGCCATTTGCCGTGACGGCATTCTCCAGGAAGGAACGAATGTTCCATGTCTGCAGTTGCAGCTCGTCCCATTGCACATCGCTGGCACTTGTAGTAGTCTTCCACCATGTCCTTGTAGGAGAGGTACTGCTTCACATCTCGGATGATGGCTTTGCAAAGAGGTTCAAGGTACACTGCCGCCATCGTCGTGCGGTTCATCCCAGCAACTGCTCCTTGAAGCCATCCATGTTTTCGGCCGTGATGGCCATTGCATCTGGAGATGCAGTGTCGAAGGTGGAAGTCCGACTGGAATCCTGTGGGCTTGAGTATGGGATTGCCTTCTTCATCTTGAGCTCGATAGCGGCATTGGTCTGTCCTGAATCGTTCACCTGGTAGGTCTTCAAGTTGACTCCAAAGAGCACTGGCCCAGGGCTGCTCGAGGATATTGCCTCTTTTCTCCTTCGCTCTCTTCTTGTACTTCTTCTTGATGTAGTCCACAGTGGGCATCTCAGCAGCTCGTTCTCGTTGAGTCTGGTCCAAGTCTCTCTTTGTCGAAGATATTGACCAGGGACGACAGGCAGGGCTGTAAAACAGCACGTCAGGATCGCCGCCAAGATCTTGCTCCACATCATGGATGATCCTTTGATGTTCAGGCAATCCAAGATCCCAGCCGTACCGGTAGTCAATGGGAAAGAGTACGCAAAGCCCAGAGAGAAGTGCTAGTAGAGAAAGTCGTCCAGAGCCAGAACACCATTCCCACAGATGGAATTTTTTGCCCTTGTTCTTCTTGGCCCAAGATCTGGCGTTGTTGGGTGTGACTGGAGTTTTCCTTGTCTTGGTGTAGTACTCCTCTGGGATCGCCTTGTACATCTTCTGCAGGTAACGGAGTTTTCCATCTTCCAAGTGTCCAGGAAAGATGTCTCCAGTGTAGTCCTGTGAGGACTCATCGTAGTCGAGGTTGTAATTCTTTTCCAAAAGGACCTGGACCGGCTGCTCCTCGCTGGCAACTTGCTTCTGGTCTCCTCGAAGTCCATCGCAAAGTCCATTGGAGACTGGATCCATTCGAAGTCCATCGTGGATCTCGTTGCCAGTTTTCTCATCATCTGTCTTGAACTGCAGCTTGTCCTTGTTGTTGCACTGAATCTGGTTCTTGTCGCAGTTGAGATGGTCATCAGAGTCGTGGAGATTGTTTCCAGTCTGCTCTTGTGAAGTCCCTTGGTAGGGTTTGGAACTTCTTTGAAACATCTGCCTGATCTTGGCCTTGTCCTCCTCGCTGATGTCGCAGTCGCTCTGCTGGTTGATGGGGATGATGTAATGGCCGCTCTCTGTGAGGAGAATCCTCATGACTGAGAGATGAGCTTCAGGATCATCCAGTCGTTGGCCACCTGGTGAGCACACCATCATGCCATCACCATTCTCGAACCACTCGGTGAAGACTGCAGAGCGCATTTGTCGAAGAGAAACGTTGGGAAGAAGTGCAGGGCAAAGTGAGCCTTGTCCACCGATGAGATCAGCAGTGTAGCTGGCAGGCTCGTTGTTGTTGATGTCGATTGGAAGGCTGACTCGTGCAAGAGTTGAATCGCTCTGGCCAGAAATGCCGGCGACTGATGTTGTAGAGGGTCCCCATGTGATCTTGTGGAGGTTGTCCTGAGGGATGGATTCCATCATCTCTCGTAGAGTTTCCGTTCCACACAGACCGCTGGCTGCTCCAGGACCAACCAGAAGGCCGCACACTCGCTTGCCTCTGACCACATGGTACAAGTCGTAGTTGTTGGCGTCGAACTCTGGGAAGTTCAGCGTCTTTGCAACTTTCTCCTCAGTCTCGGCATTGATGGTCTTGTCCTCAAAGCGAACTTTCTTGCCAGTCAACAGCTCCTCCTTCTGCGGTGAATCCAGCTTGATGACATTGGTCATGGTCTTGGTCTTAGGGCTGAGAGTCTCCGTCATGACATTCTTTGGAGCGTCCTTGAAAGTTTATCAGATAGGAACCACCGTAGTAGTCTCGAAAGCTACTGGGAAGCTCCTCAGACCAAAATCCACGCTTTCCAAAGCCTTTCTTGGAGTAGCTCTTGCCCTTTTTTCCAAAGCCTTTGCCTCTTCCAAAGCTTCTGAAGGGTTTGCCAAAACCTTTTCCACGTGCTTTGAACTTGCCAAAGCTCTTGCCCTTGCCCTTGTTGGACTGGTCGTTCAAAGGGCAGCTATGGGTGTTGTGCCACTTGGAGCCACAGGTCGAACATGCAAGTCCCATCGAACTGGATCTAGTTTTACCTTTTCCTTTGTAGAAGTTTTCATCGTTGTTGTCGGCATCTGCAATGGGTCCATCTCCTTGTTCAGCAGGTACTTCATCTTCGTATCCAGCTTCATACCACTGCTCCGGCCAGTCGTTCTGGTCGTACTGGTAGTCGTCGAAGTAGCCAGAGCCATCATCGTACCAATCCTCGTGCCAGGCATATAGGTCATCTTCTTGCCACGGTCATCATGTCGAGGATCCGTCACGTTGCTCCATGAAGTGGACTCCACATCATCTCCATAGTAGGCCTGTTGTCCAGCTTCTTCATAAAGAACTCCAGGTTGCTCAGAATGGCGATGGGCCATTCTGAGGAGCAAGGTGCGGATCTCCTCGAATCGCCGCATACCGGCGTGAGCTTGCAGCAAGAGGTCGTCGATGGTTTTCTGTCCCAATTGGCTGCTCTTCAGGTAGAAGTACGTTTTGGCTACTGGGTTGACTTCAAGTCCTGCATGAGGGGGTGCTTCTTCATAGTTGAGCTCCCACTGCACTGACCACTCCGGTATGGGGAGTTTGCCTCTCTTGAACTCGAAGACCTGCTCAAGGGCTCGAGTTGCTTGGAGCTGCTCCGCCTCGGCGAACGCCGACTTGAGGGCTTGGAGTAGTGCTTGGACTCCTGAAGGGATGGCAGCTTGTAGTAGGGCTCCAGTGGTTGGATCATGGACCTCGTCTACTGCTAGCCGTACTAAAGCTGCATCTCCCACATCCACATGGCCTGTGGGGTCAGGTGGTCGTAGCGACATGGCGATGCTTTGCGCACGACCACGGAGTCTTCCGGCCATCAATGGCCCCACATTCTCGTCAGGCCCATCGTAGAGCCTATACCACATCTTGATTCTCTCCAGGTATTGTTTGAGAGAATACCTTGGTTGTCCCGGCTCCCATCCGGGAGGCACGTCCCGTCGATATTCATCTAAGGGAATGCCACTGCTCGAAGTCGAACTGGTCGCCATCAGATCTTGTTCTGCTGCAAGTCCAGGAAGTGCTCCTCCTTGTTCCGCACAAAGTCCAGGCTTGGGAAGTGCTTCTCCTTGGTCCGCACAGTGTCCAGGTAGAACAGCAGATAGGGCTAAGGCCAGCTGCAAGCAATGGTAACCCTCAGAGACAAACAGGATCACCTCCAGGTAGTTCTGCAAGTCGCAGGCGCTCCAGCAAGGCAAGCAAGTGCCGAACAGGTAGATCAGCGTGCAAAAGGTCGTGGTGCTCGTAGTGCTCGATGTCGTGGGCCGCACAAGGCCAAAGTGCCAGAAGGTAAGGTTCGTGGTGCAAAATGCTATGGCGTAGGCACAAATGGGGTACGAAAAAGAGTGGGGCACCAGGGCTCCGCTACCAAATTCGAAAAGGTAGCTCTTTTAGTCTTTTGGGCGTAAAGGTGCACCTACGGTACATACATGGTGAAAATACCCAATGGGAACAGGCAGAGATTTCCAGTCAGATGATATTTTTTCGTTTCAAATTCCATTGCTGTCTCGGTTTTGAACAACCCTCTTTCGTGGCAGGTTTTTCTTTGTTTAGTTTAAGTCATGCCTCTTTGGTTTCAAGTTCCCCTTGTTGTTTCGTTTCAAGATTAATCCCTTTCCTCTTCGTTTTCCACGCGTCTTTTGGTTTCGAAGAACCTTCTTTCGTTCCAACCTTTTTCTTCCTAGTTCAGTTTTGCCTTTTTGGTTTCAAGTCACCCCTTTTCGCTTCAGCACCTCTGTTTCCTTCTACATCATCCCTTTTCGTTTTAAGTGGTTCATTTGCGGCCAGTTGCGGTCACTTGCGGCCAATCGAATGGCTGCAAGTGACCGACTTGGCAAAATGATTTGCTTGCGGTCACTTGCGGTCACTTGTGGTCACATGCGGCCACTTGCGGCTATTCGAATGGCTGCAAGTGGCTGCAAGTAATTGTTTTTTCAAAAATCAACTTCCGCGCGTCCCGCACGCTGCTCAATTGATTTTTTGTGCCGTATGCGTTGGGAATTCCTTTCGGCGTGCAAGCGCTCTCGCCCTGCAAGTTGCAGACACTTGACATTGCGCGCAGCTACCAGCGGTGGCTGAGACGCTCCCGCCCCGTTACCCTTCGCCAGCAACAACTTGTCTCAAAGCCTGCTACACCTCGCAAGTGAAAGCCCTAACCGAATGGGAGCAAGAACATGCTTGAAATCCGTACCCGCAAAGCTACCCTTTCTTCGTCTTGGTGCCAACCGGGATACATGGTTTCCAATTTCCGTGGGGCATCCCTTCCCAGCAATAGCAGCCTCGCGAGTTGCCAGTAGCGTTCCAATGTTTTACAAACCATTTCCAATGTATAACATATTGGATCGCTCTTATAGGCTACGCTCTGTAGCATTGACGGTTTACTCCACATCCAGCACGGCAACGTTGCAATTTTTCAGCACAGAGTTGCCACCTCACTGTTTTACGAACCGGCATCACCGGCTAGGCCACGTGAAGGGGGGATGCAGCAAGGAAGAACGGTGAACATGATGAAAAGATATGAAAAGTGTAGTCTCAAAATAGTTCATACTAACAAACGGAAACTTGCAATCAGCAGCGGCACAGCGTCCTTTTCGTCGCTGATTCTTTCCAATGATTTTCCCTTTTGGGTACGACTACACACACTCTACAAATGGTCAAGGGAGTTGTCTTTTCGCTCTGCATGCGCCCCAAGCGAAAAGAAAAAGTTATTCTCCCAACGAGCTCTCAAATTGGAACTTAGCGCACATCCCTGAATTGAACCAAATTCCGCCGCATGAAATCGAATCTAGACACCAATGTTTATGGCAGGATTGAAACATTTGGGTTGTGGAGCCTGAAGGCATTGGGGCGCGGTTGGTGGTTTCAAAAGGTTCAATACAACCCAGACGTGATTGATACTGTAGCCAACACCATTTTGGTTCACCGTGAAGGTTGACACCCAATACCTTTTGGGGTTTGGGATGAAGGGTGTGGGTGGGGCAGTTGGGGGTTTGGGGGTGGCGGGTGTGAAAAAGACAAACAGTGCGACATATCATATCACATTTCGCGGCTATATAGGAATTTTGTTCACGATTTTCACGGTTGCATGGGAACCTTTGCCCCCTACATGGGCTGTGGATGGCTGCAATCAGGCAGGCAAGGAAGACCTTGATATTTCCAGACCACAGTACGGAGCAGATGTGGGAGCACACGTCCAAAAAAATAAGAACAAGCGAAACGCCAACGGAAGACAGGAAGTCAAACGGTCTTTCTGGGAAGCGTCAACACGATGTGTTCTTTTCACAGACCAAAAGACGCGAAAAATATGAAAGAAGATGAAAGAAGATGAAAGTACTGGGTGAAAATGATGAAAAAGAAAACGATGAAGCAGTGCCAGTAGTGCCATCCCTCGGCAGCAAAATCTTGAAGTCGAAACACAGCCCGTCATCGACACAAGCGAATACAAAACTCGGCGCCAACTAGGTCCCTGTTAAGGTGCTGTCTTCAGACATTGTCAAGGCTCGCCTTTGCGCCAGTGTTTTTCCAAGCTTGTGTACGACCATTCTTGCAGGGTCTTCTCGTCAGCTTTCGTCGGCTTGCCAGTTTTCCATGGTTTTCTGGGGTGCGTTTCCTAGTTTGCTGATTTGCTTCGCCCTTCTGTTTTCCTTTTCAATGTTGTTTCATGTTTGCAGAATATTTTCATGTGGTGGGACTTGCAGTGTGACGACCCAGGGATTGTGGCGCATGGATTTTGGCACGCTTCAAAAGTGATGACTCTTGCAAAGAACTTACAGAAACCAAGCCGCTACATGCTGCCACAAAAAGATAAAAACAGTTCGTCACTTGGTATCACTTGGCAAGTGATCGCATGGGTCCCCAAAATAGACACGAGCCCAAGCACCTTACATCTCATGCATGCCCGTAAGTGCTGTCCAGTCTGTTGCTGCCCGAGATTGAGTAGTCTGGTGGAAAGTGAAGTTGGCGTATCTTGTTTCGCTTCTCTTGCAACCAGAAGGGGTGTGTGGCCAAGTGTAGCATGGGCCTGCCAACAATATCCAACAATCATTGCTTGTTGTGGCTGGATGTGGCAAGACACGAAACAAACATCCAAAAAAACAAACAATTTAAAAAACATGCGTCCAATACTGCCCTGTGCTAAAAGGTTCATGTTGGAAAGATGATAAAAGGATGCATTGGGATGTTTTCTATGTGAATGCTGAGCAAAGCACATGTGACGATTAAAAATGGTTAAACAGTCGTGATTCATAGATATTCATAGTGCACGTCTTGGAACCTCGTTGAATTTGTGTTTTGCAGGTGCAGCCTGTAGAATGAGCCAGAGAAAAGTTGTCTTGGTCTAGCTCCTTAGATGACCTGATGGCAAGGTGAACCAACAAATTTTGGTGTTTGAAATCACCGCTCTATTTTATGGCAAATTCATTCTGATCCATTCTGTATCATTCTATGATCCGGGGCAACATTATGCAATGACAGAATGACCCAGAACATTGTTTGTTGATTTTTGCTTGTTGATTTTTGTTTTTCATATGTCTTCATGTTGTTGTGACTTATATGCAATGACCCATCCCAGACTTGATCAAAGCATCTGGTAGTCATTAACTTTTTGCGACACGCAAAATTGCTGAGGATCTGCCAAAACGGGCCAGTTGAAGCATGTCTTTACCGTTCACAATTCTCGTCAAATCTCACCGTGATACAACGAAACAGGTGGCTACGGGAGGCCGAAATACATCGAAACTCGGAAGTTGACGCTTTGGGTCAAGGCACAGGGCCACGTTTCTCGCCCACGTGGGCTTCCAAATCAGCTACTTCTCGGCCAGCTGTTTGTTGTTTCTGAGGCAGCTACATACTGCAAGCTGCGATATGGATGCGGATGATGCATTACGGGTTTCAGTGCTTGAAGGGTTTCAAGTATTGCAGGGTTTCAAGTGTTGAAGGGTTTCAATTATTGAGGGGCTGCAATTTTTGAAGAGCTTCAATTATTGAAGGGATCGAATTATTGACGGAGTCTAATTGCAGGGATTCAAATTTTGAAGGGTTTCAACCATTGAAAGGCTTCAATTGTGGAAGGGCCTCACCATTCGGCTACTCCGGAAAAAGAGAAAGAGAGTTGCAGCTTGAATGTCGTAGTGAAGGTCACTTTTCGCCCGCAGACTTTGTGCCTTGGTTTCCTGAGCCATTACCAACCAATCCGGCTGCTGGTAGCTTCCAATCCGGTCATGGGGTTCGCCCCTTCATTCCAGGCCCGAGATCCTGTGTTCCGGCTTCGACCAGTGGCCGCTAGGGGAACATTGATACAGAGAGAAATTGCATTCATAGATAGATAGATAAGATAAGAGAAGATAAGATAAAATGAGATCAGATGAGATAAGATAAGATCAGAGTAGAGTAGATTAGAGTAGATTAGAATTAGATTAGATTTAGATAAGATTTAGATTTAGATTAGATATAGATTAGATATAGATTAGATATAGATTAGATATAGATTAGATATAGAGTAGATATAGATTAGATATAGATTAGATATAGATTAGATATAAATTAGATATAGATTAGATATAAATTAGATATAGATTAGCTTTAGATTAGCTATAGATTAGATATAGATTAGATATAGATTAGATATAGGTTAGAGATATAGATTAGAGATATAGATTAGAGATATAGATTAGAGATATAGATTAGAGATATAGATTAGAGGTATAGATTAGAGATATAGATCAGAGATATAGATCAGAGATATAGATAGATATAGATTAGATATAGATTAGATATAGATTAGATATAGATTAGATATAGATAGATATAGATAGATTACATTGATTAATAGATAGAGAGATGGATGGATGGATGGATGGATGGATGGATGGAGGGAGGGATGGATGGAGACAGAGAGAGACAGAGAGAGACAGAGAGAGACAGAGCGAGACAGAGAGAGACAGAGAGAGACAGAGAGAGACAGAGACAGATATATATATATATACATATATATACATATATATATACATATATATATATGGATATAGATATAGACATAGAAATAAATATAGATATAGATATAGATTATAGATATAAATATAGATATAGATATAGGGATAGATATGCATATAGATATAGATATAGCTACAGATATAGCTACAGATACAGATATAGATAGATATAGATAGATATAGATAGATACAGATAGATACAGATAGATATAGATAGATGGAGGTAGATAGAGATAGATAGAGGTAGGTAGAGATAGATAGAGATAGATACAGATAGAAAGAGATAGAAAGAGATAGATAGAGATAGATAGAGATAGATATAGATAGATAGAGATAGATAGATATAGATAGATATAGATAGATATAGAGAGATAGATATAGATAGATAGATATAGAGAGATAGATATAGAGAGATAGAGATAGAGAGATAGATATAGAGAGATAGATATAGAGAGATAGATATAGAGAGATAGATATAGAGAGATAGAGATAGATAGATAGAGATAGAGAGATAAAGATAGATATAGATAGATAGATATAGAGAGATAGATATAGAGAGATAGATATAGAGAGATAGATATAGAGAGATGGATATAGAGAGATAGATATAGAGAGATAGATATAGAGAGATGGATAGAGAGAGATAGATAGAGAGAGATAGATAGAGATAGATAGCTAGAGATAGATAGATAGATAGATAGATAGATAGAGAGATAGAGAGATAGATAGAGAGAGAGAGAGAGAAATAGAATGAGAGAGAGAAAGAGAGAAATAGAGAGAGAGAGAGAGAAATAGAATGAGAGAGAGAGAGAAATAGAATGAGAGAGAGAGAGAGAGATAGAGATATAGATACAGAGATAGAGAGAAGGAGAGATAGATATAGATAGATAGATATAGAGAGATAGATATAGAGAGATAGATATAGAGAGATAGATATAGAGAGATAGATATAGAGAGATAGATATAGAGAGATAGATATAGAGAGATAGATATAGAGAGATAGATATAGAGAGATAGATATAGATAGATAGATATGGAGAGATAGATATGGAGAGATAGATATAGAGAGATAGATATAGAGAGATAGATATAGAGAGATAGATATAGAGAGAGAGAGATAGATATAGAGAGATAGATATAGAGAGATAGATATAGAGAGATAGATAGAGAGATAGATAGATAGAGATAGATAGATAGATAGATATAGATAGATATAGATAGATATAGATAGATATAGATAGATATAGATAGATATAGATAGATATAGATAGATATAGATAGATATAGATAGATATAGATAGATATAGATAGATATAGATAGATATAGATAGATATAGATAGATATAGATAGATATAGATAGATATAGATAGATATAGATAGATATAGATCGATATAGATCGATATAGAGATATAGATAGATATAGATATAGATAGATATAGATAGATATAGATAGATATAGATAGATATAGATAGATATAGATAGATATAGATAGATATAGATAGATATAGATAGATAGATAGATATAGATAGATATAGATAGATATAGATAGATATAGATAGATATAGATAGATATAGATAGATATAGATAGATATAGATAGATATAGATAGATATAGATAGATAGATATAGATAGATATAGATAGATATAGATAGATATAGATAGATAGATAGGTAGATACAGTAGATACAGTAGATACAGTAGATACAGTAGATACAGTAGATACAGTAGATACAGTAGATACAGTAGTTACAGTAGATACAGTAGATACAGTAGATACAGTAGATACAGTAGATACAGTAGATACTTTAGATACAGTAGATACAGTAGATACAGTAGATACAATAGATACAGTAGATACTGTAGATACTGTAGATACTGTAGATAGAGTAGATAGAGTAGATAGAGTAGATAGAGTAGATAGAGTAGATAGAGTAGATAGAGTAGATAGAGTAGATAGAGTAGATAGAGTAGAAAGATAGATAGATAGATAGACAGACAGACAGACAGATAGATAGATAGATACATTGATTGATTGATTGATAGATAGACAGATAGATAGATGTACGCAGTGTCATTTGCAGCGATTGTTTAAATTTCCCGAGGGAAATGTTGGTTTGTGATCAGCATCGTGGACGTAGTTCACTCAAAGGTTTTCCACGCTTCATGTTTTGTCAGCGTGGCATTGCGCTGTGCAAGATTGGTCCGAGGCTTGCCGTATACCCGCCGAAGTGTTCCTTGATTTTTTGTTGCATCCCCGTTACCGCCGATTGCCGACGGTTGCCTCTAGGGTGCTGTGTGACATGGCATGACATGGCGTGGCATTTTGCAAGGTCGGATCTGCGCTGCAAGGGGCGAAACGGCAAATGCCACGTGGAAAGCAATGGCCACGACCGTCTCCAAATCGTCTTGGAGTATCGTTGCAGTCTGACTAAGTTTCTCGTCCCATTCCCGTTCTGTAACGTTCATGTGCAGCATCCATGGTCTTTTTATGTCTTTTTCGTATCGCTAAATAAGCTCGTCTGGTGAAACAGAAGCGATGCTGGGGTCCACAAATCAGGAGAGCTCGTCCCTGCTCTCAGGACTGTGCATGTAAACCATCCTGAAGCCCGGCGAATCGGAGACTGGCTCAGGCACCAAACAGGCACCACCTCCACTAGCTGCAAGTCTTGATTTGTTTTTGCAAAGTCTGGCTCTCATAGACCAATTGACTTATTGGTGATTGTTGATGCATGTGTCTGCAGTCTGTATATATTGTATATTATGAAATGCAATACATACAGATCTTGTCAAAGGACATGAGTTTTGCAGTCTCGACTGTCGATTTTCAGCCAAGCGGCTGCAATAGCAGTGGCTCCACCTCAGCGACACAAATCCATAACGAATCCACATCTCAGATGTCTCAGAAAAGTCGCAGCTAAGGATAGCTAAGCCACATTCTCTGCATAGAGACCGGCTATGAGCCACAAGAGCAACACGAAGAAGACCTGAAGCGGGACTTGAGTTTCACTTCAAGCTGAGTTTCAAGCTGAGCAAAAGTGCTTCCATGAACATGAGCTAAAATAGAAGTTGGTGGGTGGAAAAACAACCACTTGGTCACCTTGCGTTCAAAATTGTATTTTTTGCATAATGAAACCATGTGACATCCATATGACCCCATAGCCCCATAGCATCCCATAAGGACATACCATTGCCGCAGAGGCAGCGGCAAAACCTTCTGCTGAGTGCTTGAGAGGAACCAGCATGTCAATCGACCTGGCTCAAAAGAATCTTGAGAAACACCTTGGCACAACAATCTTGAAAATCACAACAAGATATCACAACTGAAGCACGAGATATCTCTGCCATTGCTACGATTCGACGCTGCGCTGGCGCTCACGATGCTCACGGCCTAAACAAAGGCTCCTGGAAGAGGTAGACGTAGAGCGTGTACTTCCCCAAACTCGCCTCGCTGCGGCGCTGCGGCTGTCGATCGACGGGTCGCCGAGCTCGGGCCGCTCGGGCCGCTCGGGCCGCTCGGGCCGCTCGGGCTGCTGCTAGTGAAGCATGACTCAGAACTGCTTGTACGAGTCCGTGGCCCGACTTTCCTCACAATTCCACAATTTTCCACATATTCAATGTGTTTGATGTTTTTTGATGCTTATTTGCATGATCATCTGTTCCAAGGCAACTGTCATGTCCTGCTGATGAGAAAAGGAAGTACATCGCCGCCAGTAACCCCATGCAACGCTCCATTGCAAGGAATGCCTGTGATGCGAAACAGGGAACGATCAGAGTTCAAGGTGAGGAACACATAAGTTGGTTGTTGATATGTTTTCGGGTTTCCATGATTTTAACTCGCCACTTTCAAGTTCACACCAGGGTTCCTAAATGATTCTGTCAAATGATTCGGTCCAAAGCATGTCTGATGTATCTTTATGATTCTTTATCTCTGGGATAGGCCGATCCTGCATCAGAAACCACATCCACGAAGCAAAACTGGACATCCTGGGACTAGCGCCTGAGTCTCACCAGACCTGACCGCCGTCAAGCTGGAAATCGCCAATGTCAGCCAGCTCCAGCTCCAACAGCTACAACAGCTATCCGGCGCCTGTCGCCGACAAAGGCCACCATTAGCGCGGCAAGCACCTGCCATAGTGACCGATAGGACCGATAGTGAATCAAAGATCATCAAAGCGCTGAAAAGCGGATCATTTTTGTAAATCTCAATTTTCAAATCCCACCGTGTTCCACCTTTTCAAAATCGACCCGATACCATCCACCAATATTCGATATTCACAAGATCTAAAGGCTTGGGCTCTAAGGACTGGGCAGCCAGTATATCTGCCACAGATCCCCAAATCCAGCCTCAGAGATAAATGCGCGGAGATTTGCACTTGGCCCTTGGCACTTTCTCATACTTCAAACCGTATTCCAAGTTGAGATCGTTGTCTTTCACTACTTGTGATTCGATCTCCATGCCATGGATGCCACTACAGATATGTGGTGGACATGTCGCCTCTCAGATTGGGTGCCTTGCTCTGTGACTTTGCCTCGCAAGTGAAATGGCGATTTTCAGGGTCAAAATTGAAATTGAAAATCAGCTGGAACCGATGGGACTCGTTCTCTTTCCAAGGGGTTGTATTAGGTGGTTTTGTGTCCCAAGGCTTGACAGCACGGTCGAAAATTGTGCGATTAATCCAAATGCAATCTTCCGTCTTCTGACAGCATCGCAAATCACTTCCAGGTAGGGGCAGGCCTAGCTATCAGTCTTCAACTAAAGTCTCTAAGCAGTCAATGTTGTGCCGCGCAGTCTTTTTTGACAGCATGTCAAGTGAAGTTCCTGGTTTTGCCTGTCGAGACTGCTGCTGCTGCGGAGGACTGTCCACGGCATCACCCAAAGGTTGATGCTGAGCGAGAGCGGGTCCAGTGCTTGTCTCCTCAAGCTATCTTTGCAGGAACTTGTCGAATATTTTTAGGATGGAGCTTGCTGTCTCTGTATAAGCATGTCTAAAACTCTGTGCATCCGCAAAGTACCAACATCAACATCATGTTCTTGAAAACAACCTAGATGCTAGATGTTTATAGACCTATAGAGAAATTATAGAGATGTTACATAACATTACATATCATTCATATTCATATTCATATTCATGCATTCTAAACACTGCACGTAGACTTTGCCTCATCTGTATCTATGGAACTTATACCCACGAGATGTTCAAGTTTGTGCAGGTGCCATCCTTCACAAAGCTTCCGAAAGCCAAGGCGGAGTATGCCACAGCTTCGGTGGCGATTCGAAAATCCTCAAGAATTTGAGAGGGTCGCTTCAGACAAAATTGAAATCTTTGTCAGTCTTTTTTGGATAGCATAGCTATCCATAGCTATCCATAGCTCTCCATAGCTCTCCTCTTCCAAGGCCAAAGTTTTTGGATGTTTTGGGATTTCAAGCTATTCAAGCCGAGGAAATTCACAGAACTTTTGGTGCCACAGGATTTTCGGGCAGCTTAGGCCATTGATCCGCCAGCATTCTCAGCTTTGCCAGTGTCAAAAACCCTATCGAAAGCGAAGTGCACCGATCTCAGCAATGCAAGTGTGTGGACAAAGCAGCGCACTTGCACCAGCCAAAAATCCAACCAAAACCAACAAATTACACAAGGGGCGACAGAAATCCGCCACTTCACAGCCAGCTTACTGGCTGCCATCCACAAGAATCTTGGGTCATCCTTGACATGTCATCCTTATCATGCTCCATGAGATTTTCAACTGGTGGTTGCTGTCGGCACAGTGAAAAGACATGGTGCGCAGCCACTCTTCTTCAAAAACTCCGAGTTGTGACCGAGTCAGACAGTATTGAGTAACTCTACCGTAAAAAAAACCGTAGTACGTGCCCACTTCGAAACAACTAAGGCCCAGATCCATCCACGTCCTGGTGTTCAGTACCGTGCCATACCCAGATTCATCATGAGCGTGATTTCAATTGGAATGTCCCAATTAAACGATACTTGTCACAGACACACCATCGGCAAATTGAATATGAAAAGCAACCATCAAGCCACACTGTAAAATGCGATGACATATGTAGACTTGCCAACTCACTGCATCTCGGGGTATAAGACTGCCCAAATGTGAAACTGCCCAGCAAGTTCTGGCCACCAACGCATCACGGCCATTTCAAAAAAAAACTGTTCATGTGGTAGACATGTAAAGTCGTCACCCGAGCCGCCAAAACGACTTGGGGCACAAAGTCGGCCAGAAAGGAGCTGGTACAAAGCACACGGGGATCGTTTTCAGCTCTCAGATCTCAGTATTCCAAGAAATGTCCTTAAGATACTCCTTAAGATATTACTTGAGATACTTCTTTGGATATTACTTACAGTAAGATATTCCAAGCTTGCGCGTGCTTGTGCCATCTATGTTTGGCCATGGCGGCATGAAACTCGGAGCCCTGCGGATCCCCTGTGCGAACCTATCAACACGACCTACGACCTACGATGAAATGTTGCAGGTTGCACTGGATCACCACGATCCAATTGGCAGATGCATCTCCATCACTCTGCAGCAACACACAACAAACACACGCTTCCTTTCAACATGATATACCAGTAACATGATGTAACATGATGTAACATGATCATGAATTATTTTTGAAAAAAATGTGAAAAATCAAATCTGCTCATCTTTCCATTCCCATGTCCGCACCATGAACTCAATCCAATCTGCGTTGGATTTTTGGATCGGCTCATGCTCATCTCAGATTTACCGACACTTTCCGGCACTTTGCCGAAATGATGCCAAGGGGTCGCCCCACTCAGCGAACTCAGCGACCTGCGTTGAACAGCGATGCCAAGGGGTCGCCCGAGAAGAAGCTGTCCACATTTCCGGTGCTTCCTTTGTCGTCGTCACCTCCAGGAAGGACCATGAAGGACCAATAGTATCCAAATGTATCCAATAATGGTATCAGTACTTGCAGTATGTATCAGTGTACAGTGTATACAGTGCATCAGTATGTTTTTATATGTTTTTTATTATATATCAGACTACATCAGTAGTACTAACCGGCAGAATGATGCAGCAATGCAGTAGCAATGAGGGGATCGTAGCAATACTGCATAACTGCGCTGCCCCTGGCTGAACTGCCGAAGTTTCAGTTTGACATGCTTCAAGCATCTTGACAGTATTTGACAGCACCGCAGTAGAAACATGTAGAAAAATGCAGAGACATTACAAAGAGATACAAAGAGTTGAATCAGTTGAATCAATGTTCAATCATTTTAAATCATATTGAATTAATTTGAATCATGTTTTTTCAAAAAAAATCAATCCTCATGGCCGAGGCACTTCGTGGCGACGCGGCACCAGGTGACAGTAGTGTGGGAAGTAACGACATCGGATCTGGCGAATCGTCCACCGCTTCGCCTGGGCGATTCTTTGGGTACGTTTCGGAGTATTGACAGTATTGACCTCTGAGATCCTCTGAGGCTTGAGACGATCAAAATCAAAGTCTTCAAAGATTCAGAAATCAAAATCAAAAAAAAATGAAAATAATGAAATGACCCTTTGTTTAAGGAATTGTTTAAAATTCAAAAATAAAGGTCGTGTCTGTGCCAAATGAGTTGGTGTGGTTTTCATTACCCAGTGACCAGCCACTGAACTTGTGGCCACCTATGGCCTATGGACTCTGGCTTCCTTAGTCACGTGAAACCAGGTACGTTTGAATCTGAGCTAAAGACTGTCGACTCCCACACTTGAAGATGCTGCTGCCTTGCTGTCAATGTTGTCACTCGTAAAAATATCCTCAGGTCGAAAGGATTCTTCAAGTGGAACACGACGCATGAGAACCACAGCTGTGGCGCAAATCCTGATGAAGAATCATCAACTTGGATTACACTGTTCGCATCTGTTCGCAGCTTCTTTCACAGTGACTTCGAACTGCAGCGCTGAGGGGGTCCCGAGTTGGGTGTCTCACTTGTCGTTGTCTCATTATGTTCCCCCGCCCTGTCCCTCTCTTGGGGCGAGGCTGGGGGCATCGATGAAGCTGGCAGAACCTGCACCATGACAAGGGCCAAGAACGTTCCATGGGAAACTGTGACATACTGTGACCATCCACAAATTTGGCAAAAAAAAAAGGACCTTCTGATTCGATTCATTACCTTTTGGAATAACCTCATCCTCCAACAAAACGTTTCTGCATGTCCCGTACCTTGTCCAATTGCAGTCTCACGGGTCTCGGATTCTGCATGTTCCATGGCGAGTAGTCTGGCGAGTAGTCTGGCGAGTAGTCTGGCGAGTAGTGTGGTGAGTAGTCCGCCGAGTAGTCGGGTGAGTTGTATGGGCCTTAGCTGCTTAGCTTTCGTGAAAAATGGTGTCCACCAGGAGTCCACCATCTAGGCATTTCAGCATTTCAGCCAGAATTCAACTGTCTCATAAGTCTGCCAATGGCTGATTTCCGCTTTCCAAGCTTTCTCCTACCGGCAAAAGTCACCCCTTTCATGAATTCAAGTTAAGTCGTGTCATCCCATGTTAACAACATGCTTTGGAGCCAACCACTGCTTGCTGACAAATGGCGCCAACCCCACTCTGCCTCAGCCTCTGCCACCTGACAGCACAAAGCCGCACAAAGCAATGCTTGAACCAATGATTGAAGAATCGATTTGAAGAGAGGATAAGAGAGGCTAAAAGCGATGCAAAAAAATCTCTGCACATCTTGATCTTTATTCTATCCCCCATCTCCATTTGAGTATCCCCCGTATCCCCTGCATCCCCAATGCGACCACGAATTCATTGTAATTCATTCGTACTCTATACTGATTCTGTGTGTGCTTATGCCTTGGAAGGCACATGGGATGATACGGGAAATATGGGACATCTCGCCTCCTGGTCAAGGAGGGCCTTCTGAATGATTTCGGCTTCAATATCTTGATGCCTGTAGTTCTGTGCTCGGGAAGTGAGCCAGGAATACAAACAGCAATATAATAAGCAATATAATATAATATAATAAGCAATATAATAAGCAATATAATAAGCAATATAATAAGCAATATAATATAATATAATATAATATAATATAATATAATATAATATAATATAATATAATATATACATGATATATATATATATATATTGCAATTCCTGGCAATACAAGCAATATAGTTACTTTCTCAAGCATTCGGGAGAGTCTTTGAGAGATTTGACCCGCTCTTTGCTGTGCATGATGATCATCTCGTATCCGTTTAAGGCGCTGACGCCATGCCAGGGAGACCAGTGTCTTCCCAAGGGCTTACCTCAAACCAGCTGGCAGTGAAGTCATGAAAGTCATGACAGTCATCACATTGGGAAGCCATGATGTGACACATGTGACACATGTGACGTGAGAAAGCCATGTCACATATGCATACATGTGCCACATTTGTCATCAAAACATGTGTGGTGTCATCCATCCCATGGGAATCCTTGGGCTGGGTATATAAATCCCTCATGGATTGAAGATGATTGAACACCATTGGCAATATGGCAATATGGCTATAGTATAGTATGGTATAGTATGGTGTAGTATAGTATAGTATATTATTTATATATATATTATTTACAGTATCCATTATAATTATAATCCAACTTTTGAACACAGCACATGTGACCAGTCGAAACTTATGACCACTGCATAGCATTCCGTCCATCAGACGCCAGGGAACTTCACCGTCCATTGCGTATTGGCCATAATCGCCATAGTGGTTGCCAAATTCCTGAAGTCGCCAGGTTGATGCGAACATTATGGCCAACCGGCCCATTGAACGGTCTCAAAATGACCGTTTGCCTGAATTCGAATGAACTCGACCCCAAGAGCAAAAGGAACATAAAATCAATTGAATTCATATTGAATCATTACACTCCTAGTAAAGCCCTGGACTTTGGTACAAACTTGATTCACAGAAGCTATGAGAAGCTCATATATCCTGCCGTGATGCCTGTGGTCGCCCTCCGTCTGGTCCGCGAACGCTGCGGCGGGCACGGATGTCACGGATGTCGCGGACGTCACGCACGTCATGCACGTCGCGGACGTCATGCACGTCGCGGACGTCGCGGACGTCGCGGACGTCGCGGACGTCACGGACGTCACGGATGTCGGTCTTAGTTCAGTAACAAATGTGGAAGAGATGCGCAGTGGGCAAACTGCGGTTGACATTCCTATTGCTGAGGGCCAAGCATTTCCCATCGATGCCACAAAGCGGCGCTCCTGACTGCTCTGTTCCACTCTCTGCACGTCATAAATTCCACTGGGACAGCACTACAGTTCCTCAAACTACGACTCAAACACAAATCTATAGTGTTTTCATGTGTTTTCTTCAGAAGCTGCTGGGCATCCGAGTGAATCACATGCTTCTGGTTTTCAGATTGGTTCAGTGGATCCCAGTGGATCCCAGTGGATCTCCTTCTTCCGGCGCTTCTTCTCATCAGGGGGACAAAGATGGCAAAACAGGCAGCCCTGGCAAAGAATTTCTGGGTTATGTTGGGTTATGTTGGGTTTCTGGGGGCACACTCAGCAGCATCACTCAGGGCTTCGATGCATTTTGATGCTGGAAAACCTTGACTTCGACATAATGACATTCATGTGACCTGGATCACTTTCCTGTGCATCTTCGATGGTGCAAAAAATGCTGTGTGAAAGCATGTGTTTTCAGTGGATGTTTTCTCAAACTGCAAATCTGTTGCTGCACACTTCTGACTGACTCATTCCAGCTCCGTGAAACCTCACACCGCGATTTTTTTTCAATCAGAGTGGTGCGTGGTCTTCTGCAGGATGAACATCCCATCTGTCCCCGTCTTTGCACCTTTACTTTACACCCCCAATTCTCTACTCTATGGATCGTTGCCGTGACTCGCCATAAGTCTGTTTGCAAATCGGCGAAGGCAGACCTGGCCACTTTGGCAGCCATCATTCTTCCAGAAGAAGGCACAAGGTTTGCAGCGCCTCCATCAGATCACAGATGCAGCTACTGAAAAAAGGAAAAGGACGGAGGACAGGGAGATAAGTTCTTGTTCGGGTTCCTGTCACAGCAAGCCTCATCTCATGTGCTGCGGAGCCCAAAGACGGGGAAGTAGCGCAATGCGGAGGCGGAGGTGGAATGACCTGTCCAACTCCAACTGTCGCTGCCAGGATCAAAGAAGAAAAACCTTGACCCAAGTCCTTTAAGAGGCGTAAGAGGCGTAAGAGGCTTAAGAGGCTTCAGAAGCTTAAGTCATCTCAGGTCACCTGCACCAAGGTATTGAAAATTATTATAGTATCATCAAATATCATCAAATATCCCAATCCATTCCTATCCTACTATGTTTACAATCCATTCCAAATTCTTCGGAACCATCCGTAATCTAATGATTTCTGAACTTCGCCTGGCTATCTGCCGGCGGCTCCTTTGGCGGCCGGGGTGGCGGGGTGACAAGGTTCAGCAGGACAGAGGCCGCCTGTGAGACAAATTTCACAGGTGTTCACTCCTGAAGTCCGGATGCCGTCAGTCTCACAGAACCCACGATATTCCACAATAGCCACAATATCCATCAATATCCCACATACTGTATACATAATTTAAGTTCAGATGTTTGCTTCACATTGCTTTGGTCTGTCTTGGTGAATGACAGAGTTTCGTGGTGTTTCGTGGTCCGGTAGGTTCAGCTTTCTGTCCAGCGGCCTGATTCTGATCAGTGGCCGGCATGGTTCTTGTCGTTCTTGTCACTACTTCCACTTAAACGAGCAGAAGCAGAAACAGCGCGTGTGACTTTGCACTGCAGTTGCAGCGATGCAGGGAGCAGACCAGGACAACAAAAGCGAATGAATTCCGACCCTTACAGCCTTACAATATATGCAGGATATTCAGAATGTTGACCTTGCAATTCCAGTTCTATGCTCCTCTTTCATCGCCGATTCAGCCCAATCTTTGGACCAGCACGCTGCGGAATAAATCGTGCAAGGAATGTGTTCACATTGTTCACATGCTCGAAACGACATGAAACGACCAAAACTTCGCAAATGTCTTCCATTGTTCCATGATGTTCTGATTTTTCCAACGGGATTCGGACTCCAACATCTTCAGTTTCCACTTCAAGGTCAGGAAACACCTGGAGTGGAAAAGAGTGAACCTCCATCACCCAAAAGCATCGTGGCCGATTCTGCAATCGGGATCGGCCAAACAAAGAGTGGACACCCAGTGGTCTTGGTGCTTCGCTTTCGCTGATTTCAAATGGTTGAAGCTGTGATTGTATATAAAATTATATAAATACGGTTTACTGATTGTAAAAGGCTTGCTATCAGTGCTATCAGGTTCCCTCTCAAATGAGCATTGGAGTGGACCTTTCTCTGTTGGTCGTGACCCATCATCCACAGCAGGACAGTCAGAATGATGTGCCCAACTCCAATCCAAATAGTCGAAACTGCAAGGGAATACCCTTCTTCTGAGGTTGATTGCAAATCCATCTGCCCACTAGGTCACTGGGTTTATTCCATTCCCCATAAATATCCCAAGCTTTTCACCTTTTCACAAAACTTCATTTTCCGAGAATCTTGAATAACATTGAGTTCAATATCTTCAGTATCAATATCACTCAATATCATTCAATATCCATCCGGAATCTCCATCCGGAATGCGACAAAACCCATACCTCCTGCGCCACACGGGCAGCAGCAACGCCCAAGCCGAAGCTGGCCAGGCTGGTGATGGGATCTCAGCCCAACCCCTTGGGGCCCCTGGGGGCCCCAAGGCCCCAATTCCCCAAGGATGATTCAATTTGTCTATACAACAATTTATACATACAGTACTACAGTACAGTATTTTATATATATATATATAATTAATTAAGTAATATTAATTAACTATAATTAAATATAATGAAATTATGATGTTTATGTGATATGTGCATAGTAAATGAGTTTCGCTTTGGTTTTGGCAATCTTGTTCTTTTTGTGTGTGTGTGTGATGGTGTCAGATGAAATTAGTCTTTCTAAGCAGCTCCAATAATTGTCCACTGCCGCATCAGATACTCCACCCACGTCGAGTTGTTCATCTGTCCAATTCTCAAAGTCTGAGCATCTGACTGTCCAATTCGCCCCGTAGGAATGTCACTAGCAACCAAAATGCCGCTGCCTCAGTATAGCAAATCAAAAATGCAAAATCTATAAAATATATTAAAATATATTAAAATATATTAAAATATATTAAAATATATTAAAATATATTAAAATATATTAAAATATATTAAAATATCTCAAAGTAGAACGTTACCGACCAGAGGAGGGATGACTAGGGGCTGGAAGCCTTCAGATAAGAAGGTTCAGATAGGACGCCTTGAGACCTCGAGGTATCCTAGCTTCATCCCACAGAGCAATGTGGAAATGTGGAAATCATACAACATGCAAGGAAAGTTTCATCAACTAGCGCAAGTTGCTGAAATTTGAACTATCCCTGAAACACCCCAGTATACACCCTGGTGATCCCTGGTGTATCTTGGCCGTCGTACCAGGCCCAAGGTCAATCTAGGCCCGACTTTCCACAAAGGACTTGACCTTGGTGTTCCAGGAGTCCACCCTCCAAGGTTTCCCTAAACAGGGGACCTCAGCCAACTGCAGTGGTGTCCCAAGTTTATATACAATCTTATACATATATCACATATAATATATAAATATATAACTATATAATATTATATATGTCCTTATGGCAGAAAAAAAAGCAAATATATACTGTATCAATGTATCATGACATGGTCGTTCCCCACATGCACCATGGAATGAAATGCAATCACGGGCTGGAATTGAGGGGAGGGATGAAACAAAGCTCCCTGCGTCCAGGGGTAAATCAGCCAGCATGGTATCAACCTCGAAATCGTGAGAAAAACGCAACAGTTCAACACGCGGCATGAAAGGAGCAGAAAATTCCAGATCTACAGAAACAAGCAAAAACAATCAGAAAACATATTGGAAACTGGAAGCTGTTCCTCAAGCTGTTCATCCAAGGATTCGTTTGAGAAGTGGACATTGCCACTGTCGCCGTGGCACCATTGGGGCACTGCCTTGCTTCCTGGGCCGACATTGGGACACTTCGACCGAAGCTTTTCACAACTGGTTAAGGGACGATCCATAGGTTTTCACATTGGTTCGGTCGGACACAAATGGACACAATTCCCAATCTATTCCCCAATCTATTCCCATCCTATGACATTCATCCCATATCACCCCATTCTTATCCCATTCTTGACATTCTTGTCTTTAAGCAAGCTTCTGTCTTTGACCACTGCAGCAGAAAGATGCAGCGCAGTGATGGGAGTTGGAAAATCAGGCTCCTGACACTGCAGACTAGAACAGAAAATGAAGAAAGCATGGGCCAGTTCAATATGATTCAATATGTTCAATAGCAACACAAGGCACGACAAATTGACCCCGTCCATGCCATGGCGAGCCAAAAGGCTGGCAGCAGTCGCACGAGGCGCCGCACATAGAAGCTGCACACTTCTCGGACCTGGAAAAATATGGCGAGATCGAGCGGACAGTGGAGGAATTCCACAGAGAGTTCACTCGAAGTCTGTGGAAAAGATGGAAAAGTAATGAAAAGTATGTGCTTTTGCAGTTTTCCATTGTTTTTCATGTGTTTTTCATGTGTTTTTCCGTCACTAGTGTTCCGTCAGGGGCACCTCGTGTGGTGCGTGCCATTGCGCCACGAAGCCGCTAAGAACCACGAAGATGTCTTCTGCAACGTCCAAGCGCTTCTGGCCCACCTCTCAGCGCAGAAAACACACTCAACACAACACCGACTGTCAGCCAGGACTGTCAGTTCACTCAGTTCACTCAGTTCACTCCCCCTGGGACCTGCCGAAGAGTAACGAAGAGTAACTTGTAACATTTGTAACTGGCAACCCGATTCATAATGCTTATCTGATGGGACCACATACTGCCCGGGAAAATCAAGAGAGATAAGATGAGATAAGATGAGATAAGATGAGATAAGAGATAAGAGATATAGAGAGAGAGAGAGTCACTCCTTTTGCAAGTCCAGGATCCCACAAGTCCCATGTGACAATGTGGTGTTCCCAAATCACTGAGTTGCCAAACTCTCCAAATCCCTGCATTTTCTTCTGGCAGAAAGCGGCCGCAAAGCACCCAGGCAGCACAAAGGCTCCGCACACCTGGCGAACGACGAGAACGAAGAGACCATCCGACTCCGACTCCTCGTAGGTTCCCTTTGTGGAACTTTGTGAGGATGTGGATCCCCATGTCGATGCTTAAAGCCTTAAATGATGCAGTATCTTTCAGTATCTTTCAGTGGTGTTTGATCACAGATTCTCCGAAAAGGTGACTGGAGAATTGACAGCATCAACTTTTGGTTGGGCCCGTGCTGCCGGATTTGGACGCGCCCAGCTCTTGACCACATCAACGTCAACAGGAAAACTTTGAATGTCGAACGAGTCGAACGTCCAACCCTCCAAGACTCCAACCGTCATTTAAAATACTGCTGCAAGGTGGTTCCCGTACCAGGTGATCAGTGGTCAATCGATGTCAATCGATGTCAATCGGACCTTGAAGATGAGGCAAATACATCACAGTCCATGGCTCTGGAAAGCCACAAAGCCCCAAAGTAGGGTGGGTCAGACCTTTCAAACAACTTGGACACTGGCAACTATGGTGACCTACAATTCATGCCTGGAAATCTTCAAACATCTTTAAACCCAACCTTTGCTCCTGGAACCACCTCGGTCATAGCCGGTTTGGTCAAAAATCAGAAGAGGCTCCGAATTGTTTCATATCCGCAAACCACCGCTTTTCAGATGAGACGGCTGCAGCATTCGTGAGGCTCGGAACAAATCTCTGCAGGGAATGCAGAAAAAGAGGAAAAAAGATGAGAAAAAGCAACAAAGCGATGCAAAGCGATGCAAAGCGCAAACCACAATCTCCATGAGTTTTTCATCTCGGGACTCGCTTTCTGGGCGCAATGCTGGCATCACGTCGACCGCTACCCACACCAGGAATTCACCCATTCCGCAAGTGATTCGGCATCTGGTCGTCATCGGGTCATCTCCCGGTCAAAGACTCGTCGCCCAATGTGACTTCGGCCGAGATGAAACGAGGTCGGCTAACTCAACTGGCTGGATGCCCCTCGTCTGGAAGTACTGCGCTCACTTGGAAATCTTCGAAGTGTCGGTTCTCTCATACTCCAGGCATACATCATTGCCTGACCAAACACTCGATTTCACTCAACATATTCAGAAAATTCTTAGTTTATATTAGCTTAAGGTCGCGCTTGGTCCATGATGATTTGAGCGTCCAATACCCATTCTCACCTGCACAAAGCAAACATTCCTGCATCCCTGCCTGCTCGTCGCAAGTCTCGAAGGCGCCAGAACTGCGCCTGGTAAGATTTCACAAAGATTCACAGCGGCGGTGCCTATGGTGAAATCCGATTTGCTGTGAAATCAGATCGTCGTAAAGATTCGCGAAGTAGAGATTAATCCTACGTTTCTGCTGGCTTTCATTCCATATGAAGAACTTCATATCTCGAAATGGTATGGTTCAAATGGAAATGGCTGGAGTTCCATCATTGAGTCTCAAGTATCTCAAGTGTTTGCAACACGATGTGACCGCACATGGCTTCAGCCTCCTTGATGGTGGAGGTCAAAGGCGTTTGTGCCCAGGGCTGAGCAGTAGACCCCAACCTCGGCAACGCTGTCGCTGTTCCACCCGACATCTGACGATGTTTCAGCTTGGGCTCCAGACAGAGTCGCGCCAATGTAGACCCTTAACTCCTGGCACAAGGACTCCAAAAAGTGGCGATTTGGCCGGGGAGCACCGCGCCGGAGCCAAGCCTCGCACAGGCCTTCTTTCAGCATCTGGCCCTGCAAAACGGCTCCGCCCTCCACCATCAGCTGCAAGACCTCATGAAATCTGAAGAAACCTTTACACAACACATATGTGGTATGGAAACAAAATGAAACAAACATAAACAAACCAAATGTTTCGACTGTAACGATGTTCTACAAAGTTGACAAAGACAAGAAGTTCGACAAGTCTGTGTTTCGTCCTTTGAAGTCCTCGAAGATGTGCTGGTTCGAGTTTGTGTTCGTTAGTGTGTTGATTTGAGAAGCCCCAGGGGCCCCAGGGGCCCCACTCCTCTCTTGCCCAGTTCTGTGAGAACTTGGGAGAGGTCCAAACGGCCCGAGACCTTCGAGACCTTAATCGTCATACTTATGTGTCTCACAAAAGAATACGCCAAGCGTGTGACAATGCACATATCGCAACGGAGAGTAGACCAGAATTTCTGAAGTTTAACGCATTTGACAACTACTCGATACTATAGGTCAATAACTCAATGCTTTTATCTTTTTTCGTAGTAGAACCTATGGAATGCACTCTAGCCTCATTTCCAAATTTGTTGCAGCGAACTGTGTGTTCTATTCAATCACTTACTCTCACACCAGCCATCACAGTCGACGACAGTGCTCGAGGACTGCACTATCGGCACTTCGAAGAAGTCAACACCACACTCCTGCCACCTCGTCACAGTGTCACACGTGTCACACATACAAACCTAGAGGATCCTAAAGTATGTGGATGCGTCATGAAGCATCTGTTGTTTTTTCTTGCCGACACCACCATGTTCAGTTGGCATGATCCGCTGACTTTCTGCACAACTTCACAGGAGGTGAAATCCAGAAATGTAATGAGGGGAACCTTTGCACAATTTCTCATGGCAAAAGCGACAAAGGCAGCTTGCGCTGCAGCTTGCCTCTTCTTGGCATCCGCAGAGCAGTTTTCACCTGTGAAGTCGGGCCCTCATGGTAGCTGGTCGCTGTCGAGTCTCGGAGTCAACTAGTCGTCTAAGTGGCCCCTAAGTGGCCCCTAAGTGGCTGACTGGTGAAGATCAGTGTAGGTGCCATCTTGGTATCCATCAAGGGGCCTTCCCTGACTCGACCGCGGCTGTCAAGCACAACTCCTGCCACAAATACGCGGGGAGAAAAATGTAGAAAAATGGTACAACAATGCTCGGACAGGGTATGTTTGTGTGTTGCCCCTTAAGTTTGTTATGTTGATGTACAACATGTCTTCCTTTCCATTGATGTTTGCAGAGGGTCTGGGCCTATGTTGATGCCAACTTTCACTGCGACTATCGCTATTGTGTTTTATGTCAGGGATGGTGATAAATCATAGTACTTTTAACTTTTATTATCTGCTATTGGGATAATACGATTTGATCAGTGTATCCTCTCCAAGTTCCGATGCCATAAGTCAGTTACTATAATATAGCCTGTCCAAGCATCCCAGCATCACTGCAGCATCCCTGTTTCACCCTTCAAGGAACATTGAGTTGCAGCATGTTGCAGCTGAGCTACGCAGAGGTTGACTTCGGAGGCCAGGATCTGGTCTCACTGTTAAGCTGGGCCTCAGACTCTGATGAGCTGGATGGGCTCAGGGTGGGCTCAGGATGGGCTCCGGATGGGCTCAGGATGGGCTCCGGATGTTCCAAAAAGTGTCTTGTCATTCTGTCATGTCTCAGATCAGGCAACGTCTGTCTTTGGTTTTCCCACTGCAAAATTGGGAGAGGGAGAGACGAGGGAGACCAGTCAGGTGACCAGTCCAAGTCATGATGTTCCCATCCCACAGTGGCTAAGGCTCCAACTTGTCTTGCAACGCAGTTCCGCTGCCTCACAAACCCAATCCATGGGACAAGGACGACAAGGACGGCGAGGATCCACGGAAAAAGTCAAAATCGACAGGCCATTCAGCCACAGGTTGAAATCATTTGTATCTGTATCATTATGTATCATTCAATATTATCAACCAACATTACACCCGCGTGACTATGTCCGTATATAGGCTCTTGATGATTCCAGCGGCCCTTTGTCTTCTGATTCTTCTGCAGCAAGCCAAGCATATCCAGGCTCTGACCAACGAGGATGGCTTGAGAATCAGCACGAAGTCCGTGGGCATCTTTTCGTGCTTCTCCCTTGGCCCGGTGATGCCCGGTGTAAAAGTCTGCTGAAATGCGGATGCATCGATGCATCAAATATGCATGAGACTCATGAGATGCAAAGCGGATGTTTTTCTTGACCACTTTGTTGCACTTTCTTCGTCTTTCCACTTTGTCCGCTTTCCACTTTGCTCCCTGCAGGCCTGAGTGATCCATTGCGAGGTCTTGTCTTCACAAGCCACTCGTCCATCCAGACTGGTCGCAATCTTCAGGACCACATACGGCCTGTGCTGAGCTGGAGAAATGCTTCAGTTTGGGCGATGTGGAAGACTGCCAGAAGTGCTGCAAACTTGGTGCCGGGATCCACGCAAAACTTGATTCATTGAGAGCACTATGGTGCACTATAGTCTATAAGTGCATTGAGACAGCGGCATGGTTGTCTGGAAACAGTGAGTTCCCTGGCCTCCCTGTGCAACGGTGATGAAGGTAGCTGCGGAAGGAGTCGCGCACCTTCTCCTGATGGATTGCCCTTCTGCCACATGTTGACGACTTCGGCTTCGGCTTTGTTCAGCGACTAGAACGACACTAGAACGACTAGCTGTGACTAGCTTGAAAGTACAGTGGTCATGCGCAGTTTGTAGGCTGCCACCTGAGAGGTTTTCCTCTTTGTTATCAAGACAACATGTGCAAACTGTCACCATGATTCCAGACACAACAGAGCAACGGCAGCATCAAGCTATTCGGGCCTCTGCAACTCCCACATCGACCTGGCGACAAGTTCCAAACTCGAATTGGGATTCGCACATTGCACAAATGTCCGGCAATGTCCGGCAATGGCAGTGCAGGAGGTCCAGCGCACAGTGTTGGCACGTCTTGGCGCGTCCAGGGCGCTGGCAGAGCTGGGCTGTTTTCCGCTGCCGAGCTGCCGAACTCCGGTGAAACGCAGTTGGCGCCAATTGATTCTGCAAGGTTTGCCGAGCAAACGCCCGGTGTGCCATGGCGTCGCAGGGCCACTTGAGAATATCGATTTTCATTCAAGGTTTATCCATTGATCTGTGGATTTCACGCATATTGACTCTCTTTTGGTTCTGCACTGAAAATTCTGACTGCAACAAAGATTGGCATGAGAATCTGGATTAAGAAACACCATGCATGAGATCGCTCATGGGTATCTAGGAACCGCATGGAACCACTCTAGCCCCAAAGTTCGTCTCACGGCAATGACAGTGCATCATATTCGTGGTATGAACTGAACATCTCACAATGTACTGTGATATTCCCTGATATTCCCTGTAGGTCTATACTCCAACATTGGACCATGGACTCCATGGACGCCCCCAGGCGGCCCACGGCCCCCACGGCCTGAATGCCAGCGTCGCTGACGTAGCGAACCCCGACCCCACCGAAGTTGGGATCTGGATCGACATGGCCAATGACCTCAAGGAACAAAATGGGGCGATGGGCGGATGTAACGAGTTGTAACACGTAACGGATGTAGGACTGGAGGAGGGATAACAAAGGATGACAATGGATAAGTCACAAAGTTTCTGAAATTTCAATATTCTTCCCATGCATCCATATAGTCAAATAAATCCCTATTAATTGATTCAAAACCGTCCCCCAGTAGTGGCAATTTACCCACATCTTGACGGAATCCTGCGCGAGCGAAGTCGCAGGACCAACGCCCCTTCCCGGTCAAGGGGGGTAATTACAAGGTGCAAGGATGGGGGTGAACCGAAAATGGCAAGCACTCAGCTAACTACAATGTACTCACCGTATGCCAGGGAAATGTCACACTAAGGCTAAGGATAGCAGTTGACAAACCACATCGCGTGGTTTGCCAAGTGAAAAGACAATGGCATACAGAAACAGTGATGTCGTCAGAGCTGGTTCGAAAATTACATATCTTGGAAGACTGTACAAAAAGAACCACTGTCAACTGGATAACTCATATCAAGCAAGCAACAACTGCAAGCAAATCAAGACAAGGAAAAACCAGCACAAGTGCAGGCACCTAACTGTTGGTACGACTGAGGGCATTCCGTTCCCTAACAAACTTATGCACAGTGCGGACACGACTTCTGACTCAATGACAAGCTCGGGTGGAAAGCAATCATCATCATTCAAGTCAAACTGACAAGCCAGAACCTACAAGTGATGCACTAGGCCCGCTGGTAGGCAAGAACACACTCATGACTCAAGTCCAAGGCAAAAGCTGAAGTCACTTGCAATTCAGGGCATTGCAGAAAGCAAGTGGCATGAGCCCATCCAGAGCATCCGCCGCAAAGCAGTTCAACGACACACACACACACACACACTAGACAAGAATGGATCATTATATGATCCGGCAGGAACTGAATCCTGAAACATGCAAACCAGCCTAGATTATTTGATGAATAAAAGAGCCACATGAGGTACTTCTCGCAAACGATGTAGGGCATCCGAAATTGTCAAACGTAGTCATAACCAGATTCCATAGAGTTTTGACCAGCATGTGGAAATCCAAAATAATGTTTCGGCGATTGTTTCCCAAAATAACCCATAGTTCGTCGGCGACAGGGTCTCGGCGAAAATAAGTCAAAAAACATAATACTGTCGGCGATATGGTTTCGGCGAAAATCTGAGGAAGGTTCTGATGCATGCAATACAGATTGTGGCAACCGTGTAGATTCGAAACAACGCAGTGTAACAGCTTGATCAACAGTTGAAACCAAATTTTGCAGGTACACAGAGTTGATCAGACTCTGCTTCCAGCACAAGTGGATAGCTTCGTTGGGTGCAGTCTCCACTGTGCTCTGCACCCCCCTGCAAATTAGTGAAAACCAATCAGAAGTTTTACATCTGTTCAGATGGTACACACACACACACCTCGCATGTAGCGAGGTCGGTTTTTTGGAAGAACTTCGCTGGCGGAATCGGCAAGACACCAGTGAAAGTGAACCTGTAATAACCTAATGTACAAAAGGGCGGTCACTTCAGTCAGAAGAGGAATTCGGAGCTTGTAGAAGGACTTCCATAGCATCGTGGAAGCTCATGCGTTCAACCATCGCCCAAGTCTGATCGAATTCCCCCGATGCCGTAGCAGCCTTCAAGGTGTCAGATAGATCTTTGGCTAATTCATGGATCCGGGTGGTCAGCCTTGGTTCATCTCCAGGAGATGTCGTCTCAATGGGCACATTGTGAAAAGGATGGTGTCCATGTACAAGGGGAATCTCAAAATGATGTCGCCAATAGTCCGCTGTGCGCAGGGACCACTCCCAGTTGCCGGAGAGACCATAGAAATAGTGTTCAGGGTCACGACATCGGGAATGCCCTAACAAAGGAATTTCTTCAATGAATAGCTCCCTGGTGTTGTTGGAGTGGGTAATGACCTTGAATTGGATCTGGTGAACCACGCGAGAAGAGAACTGAGCACGATGGAAGTAGTTGTGTGTAGAACTTGAGTCTGTCGGAAATGGAACGCCAGGAGGTGCTGGTCCTGAATATGTATCAGAATGGGCCAGTGTACCCGTAGCAGGTGCCGTACTGTCAGTTACCAAAGGTGCCGGAGTAGGGTTGGTCGTAGTGTCGGGAGCTCCTGAGTGACATAGTGCAGAAGTCGAGGCGTCTGGTACTTGAACTGGGTCGGTAGGAGCGAGTCCACGAGTAGGGTTCGCAGGCCAAGACAAGCCCGCCACGGTCGCGTCTCGTTTGTGTTCCATGGGTGAAACTGTCACAAATACGAGAAATAGTGCAACAACGGCTGAAGCATCAAGAATTGCAGAAGAAAGCCAATCCCGAAATTGATAATATTCACAAAAATGAAAAAAGTGAAATCCAGTCCTCAATCAAGTGGGTCAGTTGCGACGGAGAAGCCACAGCTCCAAGTCAAATAAAATAGAAATCGAAAAATCCTTTGTGTTAGTGGGGTGTCAAGGAGGAATTGAAAACCCTGTAGCATGGTCTTTTTTGGCCGGCTAGTGCATCAGGGCAGGATCACACCGGAGCTAATTTTGTAGCATTTCAAGCGTAGTACGAAAGGCTGTCTGGTACCCGGGATGAGGAAAGAGGATTCGCGGGAATTGTACTGCCGAAGTCGCCACTCAGGTCGGTATGCCTCCAAAAGCTGCAAGACCGTCATATCATTGGAAACTTGGAATGTATCACCGTCCAAGTCGCAAAAGCGAAACTCCAGGTTCGAGGGATCAATTTGGATGTCCCATTGGGACCTCAATCTTTTGGAGATACAAAAGCGGAGTTCGGCAATTGGGATGAGGCCGGCTTCAACTGGTTCCATCTGACGTGACCAGGTAAACAAAGCTGCAAGTTCAAAGCCACTGACATGTCTAAAATTGGAGTTCACCAGAGCCATGTAGTGTTCACGGTCAGGTTCGCTTCGGTGAGTCAATGCCTGTAAGGGAGAGAAGTCAACCAAGATAAGGACAGGTCTGTTTGGAGGAGGGTTCGCATCACCAGGGAGGCCTCGATGTCCAGCAATCCACCCAACGGTTCGTGTACCAAGCGGTGTCTCAATCGTAGATGTGGCGCGATATGGATTGGGTCGAGAAGAACGAGCCATTGCGTCGAATGTGAAGTATCGAGGATAAAGCGCAAAGCCCAAGCTGCAAAATGGGTTGGAATAGCCACAGGAACAAGCACAAAGTGTTAGAAATAAAAGAGAAACGGTGTACCTAGTAAATGGTCACACAAAGAGACGATGAATCACAGGTCTTTTTTCCGCCGACAAATAATGTGGTATATTACACACTTGAATCCGACATATCCATCGGGTCAATATCGTTCGCATCCAACGGACCATGTACTTGTTGAGGAGGGACAGCGGGGCGAGTGAGATATACAGTACGTTGTAGTGTTGCCGGTGGGGAAGACGGTGGTGTAGACCGCCAAGGTGGCCAATATAAAGAGGTAGTGGTTCCTTGAGAATGGTGTTGGGCGGAGCGTCCCCAGCATGACTGTAAAATATGGAGGTGGTCCGGTATCGCTTCGTACGGCTGTGAGACATGGACGTTGGAGTGTTCAGGGTGTGGTAAAACGGGAACAGTAGTTGCCGTAGGGGAGGAGGATGATGGTTGAATTGGTACATCATAGTATCTGCGCCAATGGTTAGCTGTAGTGCGCAAGGTTGCCTGGTCGTTGGTGAGGTGCATGTTCTCCAGGAATGTTTCCACTGGTTTCCACGTTTCAAGACCATCAAGTGTCCTTTCCACGATCCAAAGTTCATCTGAACGGTTAGACAAAGGATAGCTCAGCTTCTTGATGAAGACGGAGTGGACAGTGGTAGAGGTCGGAATCATTCTCGCTGCACGAGGAATATAGGATGCCGAGGTAGGATCATCCGGTGGCAAGTGTGAGGCAAGGCCATATATGGATGTAGGTGGTAAACCGTGCGAGACCAATCGAGCAGGATCATCCGTGTTGGAGGTCATCATGTACGATCAAAAGAATATGATAGCGGGAAATACTAAACTGAAGCCAAAAGGCCGTGGGGAAGGTCAATGATGAAGGAATAAATAACGAATATCACCCACTGGAAAACGAGAAAAGGATGACACAAGGGAAAATCAGAACCGGGGTGGTGGACATCACAACGAATGTTGGTCTTTTTCCTCATAGACGTGAGCCGTGTCAAGATCCATCAAGACAGCTAATCACTCAGCGGCTTTAGTGTATCGGGTGGCCGTGACGAATGGATGTCCACGGGGAATCACTTGAACATGTACAGCAAAGCCAGTGTCTTGTGCATCTGGATGTGGTGTCAGCAGCAACGGAGAACACTCGCGGGTCGTGAAGGCATCGAGATGTTGATGAGTTTTCCATCGCGGGTAGAACCAATTCAAAACATCCAGAAGAGAATGAGGAAGGTCGTCAAGCATCTGAGCTCCTCGATCGGTGTCAATCATCATGTAGAACTCCGACGCTGGTAGGTGTATGGACCAGCGTTGTAGCAGTGTGTCGGTGACTACGGTTTTGAGGTCTGAAACGAAATGACTGCGAGCATAGTCCGGGTAGATGACCTTGAACGTCTGGAACAAGCTGTCATAGGTGGCCGTAGGAAGGTTGCCCGCGACATTGGGGGTCAAGATGTTGTAATAAGGGTTGCGTACGGCCAGTTGTTGCATCGGCTTCAGGTCCAACTGGAAAATAACCGGTCGGTGAGGTGTCGGAGGCGAAGACCGGTTGGGTGGGTGCCGGAATGACGTAGAGCCCATAGCGGAAGATGACGTCCTGGTTGGAGAGCGTGAGCGTCGTGTAGGTGAGATCCTCTCGTGGGACATAGCTCGCTGTTGGCAATAGCGGTCCAGGTGAACGCGGAGAGACATAATAAATGGCTGGCGGGTTGTGTGATACGACGTGTCAGAATTCAATGGGACAACAGCGTCCATGGTTCTGAAGATAAACAAGAAGAAAATTCCCAAAATGAAGGCCAACGGGTTGGT